GGGGTATCGATTAGCTTCGAGAGTACGCGCGGCGAATCGACAGCGAATGTTAGAATGGACAATAGCGCGCAGTGTGCAAGGCTTAGCAAACGAAGACAGCATGAGGCAACGCGGCGGCGCTAGGCGCACGGACTCCCACATACCGGTAACTACGGTCTACGTTCCATCTTTGAAAATGCTCTAAACACGACTTTTTTCGAACTCAAGCCCTATAATAAGCGGCGTTCTTCAAAATTCCGCGTTAGACCCCCTGATTTCTTACTTTTGGCTGCTGACACTATGAACCAAAAATTGAGTCATATTCGCTCACGGCACGAAATAATAAAGCTGCACAAAATCCGCCTGAGACCATAACTGTTACTTTACATGGGAGCGGTGTGGTGACACGCCTAGAAGTGTGCATCTTTTCACGCCATGTTAACTACTGAGTAAAATCCTAGCAACAGATGACGCACAGCCTCGGGCAGTCAGTTGCTGTGTGGAAGAGGGGGAGCGAGTGAATTCACGGCAAATTGGCGCATTTCTCGCTAGAATAAACCCTAAGCACTCGAATTTATCGTGAGGCACTAAAAGTCTTGATCCGAAATTTTAGAAACCGGTGAGATAACTCCGTTCTCATGAGAGTATTTCAGTGACGGGAGGATTGAAGGCCTTCTCAGGACTGAGAGGCAGGCTGCAGTGACCCATGCTTACCGTGGCATGCATTGAAATCTCACTTAAGTGAGATCCCAACCACTCTCATGAAAGACTGGTGCGTTCTGTGAAGACCAGGTCATGTGCGGTTCGCGAACACGGGCTGTTTAGCTTTTTCAACCGCTGTGTCTCAGTCTGCTTCCGGTCGCCCTAAAATTGTCCTTTCCTTGGGACAAAAGCGGGTGGGAAGTGAGAGGGTTATCGCAGTGTGCTAAATTAATAGGTAAAAAACCTTCTTCATGTCCGTTTCCGTGGGGAAAGAGAATAAGTGAGACGCCAAGTGGAGCGAATAACGTATTCTGTACAGAGGTAATGGATAATAATTTGGAGGAAGTTGGCAACCGGACGAGCATGGGTCTGCACCCGAGAGGGCAGTGTCCGAATGGGTAAGCGTGGCAATCATCACAGCGTCTACAGAGCGATTTTTGTGTAAGTCAGCCTTGAAGATAATAGGCCTACAAGTGCGCAAATGCTAGCTGCCACGGGGGGCAAGAGATTGAGCTTTGGCGCAGTTTGCGCCACCTGTGATTGGCTGTCCCAGAGGCAGTCCAAGGACTGCAATCACATTACCTCATGCGTGGCGCCGGAGATGAAGTCACTACGGGAGCACAGTAGAGACTGCGCAAATCTCTTACTATACACTAATATTTACCAAATTCACCGGCGTTGCACCTGCTTCGACAATCACATTCTTAACGTCGTCGCTCGCAACGGTCGAATTGTCATGTCAGTGTACCTACTCCAAATTAATTATACTTCATCTTCAGGTAAACATGCTCGGTCTTTCATTTCGATCCTGGATAAAGGGGAGCCGTTAACGGTCATAGGTATGCAGTGGCATAGCGACTGTGCATGATTTACCCGTTTTTGTGATTGTCTCTGATGATGCATTCAAAAAGAAATCCGAAACATCGGGCGATAAATTTTTTTGTCCCAAAGATTGCATGTTCTTCTTAAAACATTGCATGTCAGCGAATTTCATTTAACCGATAGTTGTTGCATGAACCGCACAAATTTTCGAACGTCTGAGCTTCGGAGCAGTCCATCAGTGGAGAAAAGGACTGTGCAGAATTGGGGCAAAGAAAAGCCTCTAAATTTAGACGAGCCCCTGACGGTAAACATCACAAGGGAGTTCCATCTACCTCACTGGTAGTGGAGACGATAAGTCTGTCGCCGAGCTATGCTGAGTTGCTCAAACCGGATGCAGTCGGTGGCGTCTATGCGCTGCAGGCTCCTTTACAGTTTCCCCCATGCATGCACAGTCGAAAGCGGATAGCACAACGGGTGCAAAATTCTTGGTAATTTAAGACAAAACTCTAGCTTGACGCTTGTTGAAGACCCCGTCGGTGAATGCGTAGTACTGTTGCACGCAAACAGTCAAGATCGCATTTTTACCTATCGTGCACTGTTAACTTTACTGTTTATTTCTATAGAACCACATAATGAATAACCGAGTTACCTAACTGTCCTTTGATATAGCTACTGACCTCGGGTGTGTATATTCAGGTGACGAAAAGCAGCACAGCATTAACATTGCATTATCAACAGTTATTCGAGCTGCAAAACGAATAGACCAACAGTTATTCGAGAAGCTGTTCAACCAGCACAAACACATATCTTAGGGGTAGGTAAGGCACCTCCGGCAGGCATGCACTTAAATTGGAGTACATCTGATGGCGGACGGGACAGACGAAGATAAACCCCATACTTCGATACCAACCTGGAAGCTCCAATGCAGAGGCAACTATCTCTACCGGGCCGTCGACGATAGCACCTGCTTCCCCACACTTTTAACTGGTCGTATTTAGATACACCACCACGGAGGCCTCACCTAATCCCCCAAATTACGTTAGAGACGAGCTCA